TATATATATATATATATATATATATATATATATATATATATATATATATATATATATATATATATGCTTTTTTGTATTTTTAAATATGTATACTTTATATATGCATGCACTTACTTGTGTTTAATAATATTTATTTATATTTTTTTATATCTATTTATATTTATTTGTATTTAATTATATTTATTTATATTTATTTATTTTTATTTATTTTTATTTATATTTAATTATACTTACTTATATTTATTTACACTTGATTATATTTATTTGTATTCAACAATATTAATTAATTTTGTTTATTTTATTTATATTTATTTATATTTAGCTATGGTTGTTTGTATTTATTTATATTTAGTTATATATGCTTGTATTTCTTTATATTTCTTTATATTTCTTTATATTTGTATTTATTTATATTTATATTTATTTATATTTATTTATATTTAGTTATATTTATTTGTATTTATTTATATTTAATTATATTTATTTGTATTTATTTATACTTATTGGATCGATGGAAGTAAACAAAAGCGCATAAAAAAACAAATAAAAATAAAAAATAAAATAAAATAAAAAATTTGGTTTTCTATTATAAACCCTAAACCCTAATTTTTTTTTTATTATTAATATAATAAACTAGTTTTATTTATTTTTATATATATAATAAATTAATTTTATTTATTTTTATATATATAATAAAATAAATTTATTTAATTTAATTTAAATTTATGCAAAAAACCGAAGAAAGTGAAATTTTATATAAAAAAGAAAATTAAAATATATAAAATAAAATAAATAAAATAAAATAAAATAAAATGAAAAAAAAAAAATAAATTAAATAAAATAAATTATCAAATAAAATAAAATAAAGTAAAATAAATAAAATAAAATAATTAATTAAAATATTTTTTATTAATATAGAGCTGCCTATACACCTGAATGCAGCATCTATTTCACCATCGGTTCAATACAAAAAATATAATTTATTTTATTTTATTTATTTTCATTTATTTATTTTATTTTATTTTATTTTTTTAATTTAATTTATTTAATTTAATTTATTTTAATT